GTGCTTCATCTTTGCCCTCACACATGACTTGCAGTATGGATTCTTGTATCGGTGCGTCATCAAGTGCAGTATGGATTTCGCCTCGTTCTTCAGCACTCCTGGTTTTGATAGTCTGGCTTCCCCGTCAATCACATCGACTTCCAATAGTCCCTCTTCATCTTCATCAATGTCACTCTCTTCTCGTTCAGAATCCGCATCACCTCCGTGTTCGTCGTCTTCGGCTTCTTCAGGCTGGCCATCGAGGTCACGATCGATTCCCGGTCTTCCCCGTCATATCCCTCTTCAGGAGAATATCCGTCATCACCGTGTTCCTCTGGTTCTCCTTCGTCGCCTACAACGGCTGGATTGATATCAGATTCATCACCCCGATCTTTCTGGTTATCTCTCTTCTTTCTCCTCCGTCTCCGTGGTTTCTTAGGCGGAGGCTCCTCTTGTTGTGTCTCCTGACCTGCTGTGGCCTCGTCTTCACGCTCCACACCTGACAATATGCGATGAAGTATCGTAGCCAAGCCATCCGATCTTGGCAAGCATCTCCCGTCGTCATCATTCACCTTGATATAGGGTATGTTGTCATGCACCGATAACGGAATCTTGTTCGCGTTCTGGTCGATGAGGTATGGCAATTGATTTGCCGGCCATATGAATGAGTACCCTTGTTCCATGCACCGCTTCCCAATGGAAAAGACTGATGGTGTGCTCTCCAACACGTGTGCCTCGGACATCATGGGTAGCTCGTCCACATTGATGTCCACCATCTCTGATGTACTAGTTACACCATTCGCTGTCATGAAGCTCACGGATTTGGGTCCTTCCTTGGTGGTAAGGCCCATGGCATTGACTTTCTCTCTTGATATCAAGTCGTGTCCACATCCCGTGTCCATGATGAAGCGTATCGGTGGTCCATCATACCTCTCCACAGCCATGAACATCGTGTCTCCCGGTATCGTGTAGTTGACAGAATCCTTCTTTACTACCTCGCTGGTGCTGAAGTCAGACAGGTCGACGTTCACCTCGATTCCTTCCTCTTGAGTGATTTGTATCCATGCCTTGGCAATGTGTTCAGCTGAGTATGACTCCATCATCTTACCTTTGGCATGTGCTACTCGTGCAGCTATATTATTCACTCTGAGGGCTCTCAACGATGTAATGAGCTCGGTATCCACCTTCTGTACCTCACTCTTCTTCTTCCTGAGGGGACGGGTATTTAGCTCGTTACCAGGATCGCAAGGAAACGTGGTCACATTCGCCTGGTCATCGAATCTGACTTTAAAGCGAAGCGCCAACCCACCTCGTCGTATATTGGGAAGTGCTGGTTGCATGTCCTCGTCATCACTCTCGATGTCCCCGCAAAGCATAAAGGCCGGTGCAGCTGGTTTGGGCTTGGCTTTGCCTTTAGCCTCTTGCTTTGCCGCAGGAGCAGCTTGGTGTTGACGTCGACATTTGTCCCCGAACTTGCATGATCCTTTCTGCCAATTCCAACAGACTTGATCCTTCATTGGCTTAGGGCTAGTGCTCCTACCACCAGGACTCTTTGACCTGTCACCCTTGAGGTTGTCTGGTTTCTTAGCAGAACTTTTGTGCTTCTCCTGGTGACTAAACTTGCATTTGTCTCCTCTAGAACATCCGTTCTTCCCATGGAAGTGGAAAGCGCATCCTATCTTAGACGTGTCTGCCAGAGTCGCTGATCTGCCACGGTCCCCTTTCGGGCTCTTCGTGGTTGACCTTCCACGATCCTGCTTCTTGTCCTTCTTTTGGTGATCCTTCGGATTATTCTGAGGAAGTACTGGAGCGGCGTCCTTCGGTGGATCGGCCTTGGTATTCTTGGGCTTCGCTTTAGGGTCCTTCTTCTCCGCTGGTGTAGCCTTCATAAGGTTCCCAAAAGCTTTTTCCCTTTCTTTCTTATTTGTGGTCTCGATTGATTTCCGTATCCACTTTGCCATGATCTCCCGTAACTTCTGATAGGTCTTATCCGGATCCTTATCCAACATGTTGTCGTACACAGACAAGTCTAACGCCATAACTTTGGAATCTTTAATCTTGTCCCAAAGCAAGTTGCGGAGTGCTTTGTCAGGAAGCATGTCATCCGCATCCATACCTGATATGATCTCATCCCACTGTCCAAGGAATCTGGATAGTTGATTATCTCCAGGGAACTTCAGATCGAATAAGTGCTTAGATGCATACATCACATCGACGTTGTCGGCACTCCGGAAGCTATCGACGATCAACGCTAACATTTCTCGTCCCTTAACCATTCCCGGGGTTGTGCCTCTCGCACGTCTCTGCATCATCTGCCTCACCTTCAGTTGTACGTCATGAGATCTCTCACCTGCTGCGTGGATAATCGTGTGTAGGGTGATACCTAGCTTAGCATCTATGCTAGCGAATCTTGCTTCGCCCGATGTCTCGAGCAGAAATGGGTCATATGGTGATTTGAAGGCATCCGAGAGCCACTGGATCCAATCTTCTTGTCTTTCGTCGCCCGATGCCGTCACGACTGCCGCTACAACTTGGGATTTCCAAACCTCCAAGTCGTGTATCTTGGGCCATGCAGGGATGTTGATCTTCTCGTGTTCCTTCCGAGATATCTTGGAGCCACCCGAGCTAGAGGATGAAGCGGCACCATGTTCGGTTGCAGCTGCATTCTCAGCGTTCATGCGCTCCTCTTCATACCTCTTCCGGTACTTATTCCTCTCATCTCTGAGTCGTGCTGCATGTGCTTCGAATTCCATCATGTCCTGCTGGTTCTGCATCATACCTTCGTAGTACTCCATCGCCTCTTTCTCCTCGGACCTTAATGACTTTTCGGTGCGTTCAAGTTCCGCTTTAAGCCTGGTCATCATCTCACTCTCCACATTGGATTCTGATCCCATGTCTGGTGGTTTCATCTTCAGTGCGACTTTCAGCTGTGCTTCACTCGCGCTAGATTCGATCAATTCTTCCTGAAGACATTTCAACATCCTCTCTTTACGTAGAATGTCTTCTTCCAACATGTTCATCTTGACCTCAGCTTTCTTGAGTTCGACGTTGGATGGTTGAGACGGTCGGTCGGATCCTTGAGTCCTCGCCTGCGTCAACTCCTCGTTCGCCCTCTTCAATTGTTCTCTGATGGTCATGATGAAATTGTCCTGATTATAAGATCGGTTGTTGAGCTCCTCATTCTCTTCTGATAACCATTTGATCTTGCTTGTATACATTGCTTCCTTCATCTTCATCTCCTCGGCATATTCGTGTTTGTTCCTGACACTCTGCCTTTGTAGTCCAACTATCTCCTGCCTATACAGATCCCTAATGTTCTCAGCATCTGCGACTGCAGTCATGAGCTCCGTCACAGCTCGATCTCTTTCCGCCGATATAGCCTGGATCTCTTCCGTGCCGATGTTCACGACTTGACTAACCATCTCTGCGCTGTTGCGATCAGCGTACTCCCCTAACTGGGTGAGACGATCCCGCATTGCCACACGATCAGTGTCAATCTGGTATTGCAAATCGTGTGCTGCTGAGAGCAAACAGTCTCTGGATTCTGTAAGTTGGGAGATTCTCCGTTGATTTCCATATCCTTCGACATAACATTCTTCGAGGTGTGTCATCACTACTTCGTGGACTTCGGTCTCGTGTTGTATAATCTGGTTCTGTCTCTGCTCACATTCGACCATCCATGCGTTTTGGTGGTTCAACATATGCACTTCGGCAAGTAGTTGTGCACACTTCGCATTGAGGTCTCCATCGGCCCGTGCTAGTTGTAGGTTGTCGGTGCTTGCCCTTGCTCCATCTCCAGCTTCGCTGTCCGATGGCACTGGTACAGTTGACCCATCCTCCAATGCTAGCACTCTCACAGCTCCGGTGTCAGTTCTCCTCCTTGTCTCTCTAGGGCTACGGCCCGATCTCGGTGTCCCCCCCCGGTGGTGTCGAGTGCGCTGACGGGGAACGACTTCGTGCTCTACCTGTCGCAACTTCTCTCACCACTGTCAGAGTCTCCGCTTCGATCGTACCTGGACTAGAGTTGTGGGATGCACTCACCCGATCTGCGGCCGCAGCGGCTGCTCCAAAGGATGCAGTGCTGGCGTCGGATTGGTCCATCTTCAGTGACTGAGGGTAACTGATCTATCCGATGCGTGTGCGTTTAGATGGTGTTGTGTAAGGCCGTAGCTCGTACCCAGCTCGAAGGAGTCTGGATACGGCTGATAACCTGCGAACGGATGAAAAGCGTGCCCCTGGCCCCGTTCTAGCCCTTAGCCTAACATGAAGCTCGCGCGCTAAAGCTCCTTTTTACCTGGTTGGGCACTTGAGCCAAATGTGTATGGCAAGTACCTATATAGAAGCTATACTGAGACCTCATCTCTATTGACAATATATATAATATAATATATTAATATATACATAATGTACATAATGTACATTACATAGATTCGAGTCGTGTATAGTATTAAAAAAAGGTCGTCAAAAGGTTGGATCTGTACACTTGGATTTGTAGATGATTGAATGATCATTACTCATCGATCATGACTTATATACTTGTACAGAACATAACAAATTCCATCAAATTCCTCGATATTGTCGGGAAGGCTCTTGTTGAGCTGACACAACAAGAAAGTGTCATTCTGTTCGACCCTTTACTTCAAACTGGTCCTTGTCCATTTTCACCAGGGTCTCAGCCAATGCCAACGCTGCCCCGGTCCTCAGTGCTTCCGACCGCGTCAGCTCGCGATCCGGAGTCATGCACCGACGAACGAATGCAATGCGTGCCGCTCTGTCTTTTTCTTCGCAACGAACGCAAGTCCGTACCTTTTGAGGTCTCACTGTTCAGCCTGCAGTGGAGATTGGTGAGGCAAACAATGCCACTAGCCTTACAGTTCACAGGTGTTCTGTTATGTTTCTGACATCATTTTTCGTTTTTTTTTTTGAGTTTTTCGGAGATGAACGGAATTGGCATTCACTTCTGTCACATCGTGTTGTCACATCACTGTCCGGTCGAAGCGGGCTGCGGCCTGAGCCCGGTCTCATTCATCTTTGGCTCCCATTTGTTGCCGGATGAACCTGGGCTGAGGACCATTTGTTGCCAATTTCACCGTTTCTTTTTGAAGAAGTCAATCAGAGAATCATCTTCCTCCATGTCAGAGTATGGTCTGGTCTGTCCGAATATTCGCCCATCCCGTGCCTTCTACAAAAACTGTCGAATCAAGCAGCTGCTCGGGGGTTTGGTTCTCTGTCGCGTACTTCAGGGCAACTGCACCCAGCGTCAACTGAATGAACCTTGGATGCTCAACGTTAAGCAACAGCCCAGGCCCAAGATTGCCTTTTCCTGAAACATGTAAAAGAGAATCCAGTCATGAAATTCCGTGGTGAAACCCAAATGAGCAGCGTCAAAACCCATCAAGAAAGGAATTTAGATGAGGTGTTCAGGTAATGGCCCGCGGAAGTGAACACCAGGGTGCGAAAGCCTTGAGAAAGCTTCGTTGCGAAAATTCATTCGGTAGCTTTTCTGGAATACGTGTTTCTTCTATTAACCACTTGCGCACAAAACGACGAGGGTTCCGCCGCGAAAGTGGCGAGCAAGAATACTTTGAAATGAGGCCCGAGAAAGTCAAAAAGGCCGGTCGGGAAAGACCTAGGTTGGAACCTCGCCGCAACCAGGTTTTTGAAACAGCTCAAATGGCCCATGCTTGTTGCACCATGCTTAACGTTGGTGGGAGATCAATGTGATTGGCATTCTTGGTGCCGGCCACTCTGGAGCTGGTTTTGGCCCACAAATCCATCCTTTCTAAGGCAGAAGGGTGCTCCACTCCCGAAAGTTACCCTTCTACCCAAGATGACCATGCTTCATCTTGATCGAGCGATGGACCTCCAAGACTTAGCAACTACCAGCACCACTTGCTCACAAGGCGCTTGCTGAGGTAGACTGTCACCTAAAGTGATCCGGAAAAAAAACAATGAACTGAGGCTGCAGTATCTGAGGAAACAGAGTCAAAAAGGCACTAGCAAGTATCAAAAAACATCTTTGGCAGAATGGTCAGGATGAAGGATACGGATAGCTGGGCGTGGCTTCCACAATATACAATAAACGACTTACTTCTCCGACTCAATTGCGGGCTCCTCTCGATCATCACTAAAAGTGGTTTTCCTGCAATTCCATGGCATTCCCCCTTTTACTCAGGCAAGCCATCATTGACTGAAAGTCGCCAGAATTTTGATTTCATTCATCTTCGCCATCATCCCAGCAATGACAATCACTGCGCTGGGAATGGGGATTGGGATGACCTGCAAGCAAACTGATTTTGATCTTCCTGAGTTTGAAGCACCGGCCAACTACTAATTATATAAGGGCTTGTTAATGAATGATCACCAATGCATTCCACTGCATTCGCCTGCATGACCATTAGATGTAAGCTGCAAATAGTTTCATTCAGCATTTTCACAACTTGGATGATGCAGAACCACAAAGTATATATATATATATGTTGGAATCTGGAACGTATCTTAATCTCTGCAGAAAGCCAGGATCTGTACCATTCTGTAGTCATCTTTCATTCCCAGTCGGCCTGCATCCCCACGAGGCCGAGAACGCCCCAGTCATTGGCCCAGGACTGCGCCTGTGGAATTTCCCAAAAAACACAGCCAGCGGCAGCGGGCCCTCAGCCAGCGGCAGCGGGCCCTTTTCAAACGACACTCCCAAAGACACCCGCTGTGGGATGCACAACATGTTGAAGACTCTGCAACTGGTTGGTGAAGGCTCAAGGGTTTCTTCTCTCAACTAGAAATAGATAGAAGTAGAACTTGAGAGGAGGGAGACACGAAAGGTAGGACAGCAGGAAGAGAAGAGAACACGAGAGGCAGGAACAAAAATGCAATGTTCGACATGGTGATGCCCCAAACGACAATGCAGGGGAGGCTAGATGGAACAATGACTTCCAAAGCTCTAGGGAGAAATCACTCCGACCCGGAAGCACCCACACTTGCTTCACAAAACAAACTCTAGGTATTGATCCCCTCGAAGGCGACCTTTCGTGATTAGAATTTCGACCGCAATGCATTCATATGCACTCTGAATGTTCAAGAGGGTTTCAACTATCCTGAAATCATGAGAGGCTCACGAAGACGTTCTCCAGGAGAGAATTGAATTTAGAGGGGGGGAGGGGGGGGGGTCCGTATTGAGAAGTCAATTCCAAGGGGGCGGGGGGTGAAAGAGTGACTAGGGCGTACACGGTAGAGGTGCAGACCGCTAGTGTCTTTTATGCGCAGAGTCTTATCCTCTTGCTCTTTGAGCCTTGAAGCAGTCAAGCATGGACACACTATATCAGCTGTTGGAGTGGAGCCCTGTACAGGTAGGCTCTACTTTTCAGCAGGCACAAGATTCATGTCCACTTCTAGCTGATTGCGTATGTCGCATACTCTTTTTCTACTGCAAGGCTAAAACAGTCCAGCTAGCTCTGACAACTTAAAAGAAAACTACGGTGCCATGTACTTACCTAATCCAGTGTGTTTCACACTTTGGAGAAGGTAATCTCATAGCTACTAAATACAGTGAAGGAGCAATAGCTGACTCACCTCAAGTACAAAATCAAAACGATAATGTACCTCGGCTGGAGACTGTACTTTTCGCAGGCGGAGATACCATGTACCGGCGCTCACTAGCTCTTTATGGCCTGAGCTAAATCAAACTAAAAGGGAAAGCGGCTTTTTCTCTACAGAGACCTATAAAAGAATCAAACGACACTCGCGTAACAAAGAACTAAAAATTCAAGACCGCGCAATGCAATGAATTAAGATGCCTTGCAAAATGCAAGGAGCGTACGGTCCGAGGAATAATCTTCTCGTAACGTGGTCTCGACCGCTTTCATTCACAGACAAAATAAACTGCATCAAAAGGACTCTTTCTCACATTCACAACAAAAACACAAGAAGGAGATACCGGCAAATGTATGTACAAAAATCTTGCACTACAATTGCAAATCATGAAATGACTTAATCATCAACCATGACTGGTTGTCCATTAGAGGTCACTTCATAAGAGCGGTGGTGATAGATATCATCAGTTATGTAAAACTGTCCATACCTATCTACACGCTAAAGCGTATAACCCTGGATTGCAGGAGTATCTTCTTTGATAAAAAGTTTCTCCTGGTTCCAAACCAGAGTTTATTAAAACTTCAGCCTGGCAACTTAAAGTCAAGCCTGGAAGCAAAGTATCAACTGTAACCAGAAGTATCTTCACTTCCTAGCCATCATTTAAATTTCAGCCTTCGCTCAGGAATTATGCCGCTGCAGACGATGAAGCTGCTTGATCAGAAGTTGGCGGCCTTCCTTTCTTTCTATTCTGCCTTTGTCTCTCCTTCCTCCGCACGTTCGCCTCTTGAAGCGTTGCTCCCATGCGATACTGTCTTCTGTCTCCAGATGAAAGGGAAGCTGGTCTGAGTGAAATAAACATTGGACCATGACTGTCCTCGTCAGTGGGCCTTGAGCACATAACCTCTGTGTCAATCATAGCAAAGTTCTCTGAAAAATTACAGATGAACTCCTTCGTGCTCACTGTGGAATTTTCATATTCCTCTTCACTCATTGAATGACCCCATTCAACAATGGTAGACAAACATGTATCGCCAAGCTGTGATCCTTGGTATTCTTCTTTTTCAACAGTAGAATATTCTTCCCAGAGTTTATCAAAGTAAACTTCACACTTCTTGAGGACCTGTGAAGTTGAACTGTAAAATGTTCTGGGAATAGGTGCCTTAATACCAAGATCTGCTTTTACACGAGCTTCTGAAAACCTGCGGATCCAATGCTGAATGGTGCTGTAATAGTAGTTAGCCATTGGCTGCCTTTTGTACCCAGACATTCTGTAGGCCAAACTATTTGCATCACCAGAAATGATGTCCACCTCATAGACAAAACACTCATAAAGCATCAATGCTGTCTGTTCTCCTGTCAGTAGGTGGGCATCCACAGCACGGTGTGTATCAACATGATAATTACAGACTCTGATGGTATGCATGTTCGCTCGAGTAAGTGGAACACGCTTGTCCTCAGGACCATAGTCATCAATTTCAAAGTCTGCATCCTTGAAATCTTGACGAGGCCTTGTTTCTCCAAAACAAATCTCGTAGATAGCCCAAGTTACATCACGCTGTTCACAGTGACCAAGATCTTGGTCATGTCCAGCAATGATCTTGACATATCCACCTGGTGCCAATCTAGCCATCACTGCAAGATTCTCCCAATCATTGAAACAAACTGTCCAATTCTTTTGCTCAATAAATTCCTTGGCAGGAACAAGAAGATGAGCTTCCTGGAGAATCACGACATGTGCACGTAAAAAGAAGAGCATATTGAAGAAAAGATTGTTTTCAAATTGCTCATATTGAAGTGACATGGCACTCTGCTTGCGTGGCTTCATTGCACCATCAAGTCCTTGGAGAAACCTTGGTGTGGTGTACTTCTGACCACGAACCATGTTGCCATAGTTCCAGGATAAAAATGTCAAGGACTCTGAGCTGGCCAATAAGTTAGTTCCATATGGTTCTTCTATTCTTCCTTTGAGGAACCTTCTGCGCAGCTCTTCATAGAAGGTGACAAAGTCCCAACTGGGTCCCTTGGGACCATATGATTCCAGTTCCTTCTTGAGTTCCTTCTTCGTATCCTCCAATTCTTCTCGAGCATGACCTGCCCTTTCAAGGGCCCTTGGATCGACCTGATACCTGCCATCCAAATAAATGATGCGGTCATCATTGATGAAGAATCTCTTCAAATCATGCCCTGGTTCATGTTCATAACAAACAGGTGGAGGTACTGGACAGACATTTCGAATGGATCGAACAAAATCATTCTCGTTGATCCTTGACTGATAATGAGGATGGGAAATCTCACCTTTTCTGAAACAAACATGATTCAGCAATCTTGCATGAGTTTCCCTGAAGCGTAGTTGATAAAAGCCAATACCTGGATCTCCTGTAAGCTCTCCAAGCAACTTCAAAGGTGAAGTATGCAACTCATAGGTATTGTCAGCTTTTGTTGTATCCTTTTCAACAACTACTTCATATGGAAAAGATTCTTGGATTTCGGCCTCCAATTTCTTCTCTTCATCATCCTCTCTGACCTCTTTTATTTTCTCCACCGCCTCTTTCTTCTCTTCCATGGTTGCATCATCCTGAACTTCTTCATGAAAATGAGGATCAGGAATCTTATTCAGGCGGCTTCTCTTCGATTTCCGCTGACCTGAAGTATCCTCAAGGTTAGCATCCATCTCACCTGATGGTAAGTGCGATGCAGTCGAGTCCTCACCTTTCTCTCTTGACAGAAAGTGTGGTGTTGACTCTTCCTTGGCTTCCTCCTGGTCAACTTCCATCTTTGGTTCCTCTGAAGGAAAAACACCTGCATCTTTATTAAATATTTCTTGTTCCTTTCCAGGTTCAACTGCAGGATCTTCTTCTGCAACATCCTTGGTGAGCAAGTCCTCTACAAGATTTTCTCCCTTGGTTCTTGGAAGAGGTCCTGAGGTCTCATAAAAATCTGTCCTCTCTGAACTGAAAGTTTCTGTCGCCTTCTCATTGTCCTTTTGATCCCTGAACAGGTGAGTAATCTTCACAGCTTCTCCCTGTAGCACCTGATCACCTCCTCTATACTTGTCGACAATGGAGCGCCATACCGGAACATCATCATCATCAAAATCAAGCTCCATATCATCTGCCAACAGGTATGAGATGTTTTGAGCTGCCTGTTCTTCTTCTTCATCACGTTCTTTGGCAAGCTCCTCATCCTTCTGGATCTTGAAGATACCCTTCAGGATGTCTTGTAGTACCTTTAAGTTCAGCTTCGATGATGGCTCATACGTCCCTGAACTTACAGGCTCAACTACAACACGAGAGCAAGAAATCGCCTCCAAAAACTTGGAATTGTATTGGCGTTCAAGCTCTTCCTTCTTGATCATCTCATACAAGGGATCAGAAACTGCAACACGCGCCTGAACATACTCACGAAGTTGATAGCATGCATGTTGCACAAATCTACTGTTGGAGTTGTGAAGAAAACTCTCTAAATGATTCCTGTCACGGTCAATCAAATACCACACAATCCTTGCAGAAAAACGGAATTTCTTGAAGTTCATAGCAAAATGTGTATGATACTTCTCTGGATTCCTTTCTGCTTGTAAAGCGGCCTCTGAAGTCTTGTAAACAGGAAGTTTTGTGTGTGGATCCAAGATCATAAAATCTTCCCACAAGATCGAGTGGTTAAGAACCCACTTGGGAAGCACCTTGATGAAAAAGTCACAAACAAGTTCAGACAAAAGGTGCATGACACGGCCAATCTCTTCCTCCTGCTTGAAACGATAGTGCAATTTGGCAAACAAGGGACTGTTGAAGGCTTCCTCCACTGTGTTGCCAAAATTATCCCACTGAGGTTCTGGAATACCAAAGTTCCAACCCAGCAATTTGGGATCTCTGCACATATCCAAGAAGCTTGAAAGTTCTAAAGAGCCAAGGCCATGGTCTGTCAGAATTTCAGCCCAGCGGCGTCCATTCTCCCAAGCACGGATGAAGAAAAACTGTTGGTATCCAGTTTGTGCCAACTCCATCCACTGAGAAATTCCGGGTTCAAA